ACTGTTTATGTTACACAGGTGTATAAAAGCGTTGGTAGTGAACTCATGAAACATGAAATACAATGTAAATTTTTATATTGTATTGATTTTGATTGTACGTTGCTTCTATTTTATACTACAATGATTTCAGAAAACATGTTTTAATGCGCAGAAGAAATTGTGGATTGTTTGCTTTGGATTTAAACGCTGTTCAAGGACTTTTGTGGACTGTCACTGAAGCCCATTACTAGAAATGAGATTTAAGATTCTGTATCTGACAGTTGTGAGATGATTTATTTATTTTACAATGTCTCAAACCTCTCGGCATGATTTCAAAAGGCATTCTTGATATCCTTTGTAGTGCTGAAACTATCAGTCGATTTACAAGTCATTTTACTCACTAGTTTCAGATTTTCTTTTGTTAGAATAAGTGTTTTTTCTTTCTTGTATTTAAAAGTAAATTGAATATCTTCATCCTTACTAGGACAATATGTGTCCCCAGCCAACTAAAGAACTGATTAATTCATTTTGAAATGAACTTAAGGATTAATTGATTACACTTTAAACTGATGTTCCAACAATCATACGGGGTGTTATCCATTGTAGGAGAGGTCGGGATATACCAGTTTCTGTGAAAGGGTTTTAAGAGCCAGAATACAATATAAACCTAAAATATGTTGCGCTCTGAGTAATTGACAAGACTCTCTTCACTTTTCCTCCATTGGAAAATCTCATTCTCTTGCACTTTTACGTAGCACAAAGCGCTGTTGTGGCTCTAATAGCTCGTACACTTGAACTGACTAATGCAGAATTTTAGGATATAAATGTATTTTACTAGTAAATACATTGAATCAAACAATTATCACCAGAAAGATTGATTTTACTCTTTTTAGCTGGAGTTCATAGTGAAGCAGAAAATGAGCAATGCAGGATTGATTGTGAACCAACTACAAACAAACAGTCGCAACTTCTCCAATGTGAAGATTTTATTGCAGTTATTAATTCAGTGTCTTTAAATTTGGACTGTTGCTCAAACAAAACAAGCTATTTTAGACCCTAATCTTGTCGTCAGCCTCTTTTCACCATTAGTTAATGGAACAACTGGAACAAATGGAAAATAATCATCGGTCAGGATTATCAACTGTTGATTTTGACACTGAAGGTCTAATGGGAGGAAATGGGAAGTTGTCTCTGGGTGTGGTACCTCTGAGGTTGGTCCACAGTCGACTGGGGACAATACACTCCATTGTCATTCACAACAGAGGGAGCCCGTCCCAGGTTTCTCAGAGAGAGGATGCTGAGGGCCAAATTGGATTTCTGACTGAATGAGGAATCAGCTGCTTGGAGACGTCTAGAGGAAGCCGAGCCACCATCTCTTTGTGGGGCTGCTGCTGGAGTGCCATTCATATGTCGCCGATCCTCCACACTCATTGAAATTCAGAGGGGAGTTTACTCTGGCCAGGTGGAGGTCTCCTCCAGCTGCTGTACAACACAGACCTGCTCAGGGGTCACTCTATAAACATTTAATCCCCTTCCTGCTGTTTTGAGTGACAGGAACACCCCATAAAGAGTTAATTTTCTTAGCCCTCTCTCTGCAGTGTCACGACTGCAGGATTGTATTTAACCCTCAGTGCCTGACTCAGTTGTAGCAGCACTGATCTTTCAAAATTAATCTTAAGAACATCTTTCAGGGCTTTGTTGAAATAGCCATCAAGGCCAAAAATAGCAAGCACTCACAATGAGATGACTTTCCTAAATTCAAAGTTTAGATCTTAAGCCCTGACTGTTCACTTGTGTTAATTGCTCAACTGATTGGCTCTGA